GCGCTGCCCTACGATGTCGAAGCAAAGGAGAAAGCGAGAGGAGGTGGTTATGGTGAAGCGAGGAAGACTTTGAAGGTTGTCGACCTCGACGAGCCACAGCGCCCAAGTCCATCTCTGGACGTGTGGGCGGTGAGGAGTAGAGGTGGTACTTGGACTTGGGGCCAGCAACCACATGACGGGCTCCAAGGCGGCCTTCTCCGAGCTCGACAAGAACGTGACCGACACGGTGAAGTTTGGCGACGGCTCAAGGGTGGCGATCCGAGGCGCACCATCATCTTTAGATGCCGAGCACGGCGAAAGCACCGCGCTAACGGATGTGTATTACATCCCGCAATTGCGTTCAAGCATCATCGATGATTAGGCGGTGGATGAGCGCGGGGCGAGTCTTCGATCAAGGACGGTGTCCTCGGGATCGTGGACCAGGCGCAGCTACTACGCCAAGGTGAAGAGATCTCGAACTCGGGCCGCACACGCTCAACTTGAAGGTGGAGCAGCCCATCTGCTTAGCGGCGTGGCGCACGGAGGAGTCATGGTTGTGGTACGCTCGGTTCGGCCATCTCAGCTTCGACGCCCTCGGCAAGCTAGAGAAGATGGTCCGGGGGCTGCCTCACATCGAGCACGCAGGCGAGTTGTGTGACAGCTGCCTAGCCGGGAAGCAGAGGAGGTTGCCGTTTTCGAAGATGGTGAAGTACCGCGTGGCCGAGGCACTCGAGCTGGTCCATGGCGACCTCTGCGGGCCTATCACGCCGGCAACGCACGACGGGCGCAAGTACTTCATCCTGCTCGTGGATGACGAGCAAGGGCGACGCGGCAGAGGCGATCAAGAGGTTCAAGGCGCGTGCAGAGGCCGAGAGCGGGAAGAAGCTGCGCGTGCTGAGGACGGATCGCAGCGGTGAGTTCCCTTCGGTGGAGTTCGCCGCGTACTGCGCGGATCAAGGGGTGGTGCGCCACCACACCGTGCCGTACATGCCGCAACAGAATGGCGTGGTGGAGCGGCGGAACCAGACGGTGGTCGGCATGGCGAGGTCGATGATGAAGGCCAAGAAGATGTTGACGGAGTTCTAGGGCGAGGCGGTGACCATGGCAGTATTCATCCTCAACTGCGAGCCCACCAAGGCCCTGAAGGGCAAGACGCCATTCGAGGCTTGACACGGGCGCAAGCCGAACGTGTTGTTCCTCAGAACGTTCGGTTGCGTCGGCCATGTGAAAAACACTATGCCTCACCTCGGCAAGCTGGAGGACAGGAGCACACCCATGGTGCTCCTAGGGTACGAGGAAGGTAGTAAGGCCTATCGGCTCTACGATCCCAAGGGAGGCAAGGTGGTGATCTCCAGGGATGTGGTGTTCAACGAGTCGGCGGCCTGGAATTGGGAGGATTCGACGCACGGGAAGCCGGTGGCGTCGGCAACAAGACGTTTGCCGTTGAACACTTCATGATCCAACGAGGTGGAGATCTTTGGCGTTGGAGAAGCGAAATGTGGGACGGGCCATGTCCGTGCACCGAGGCGCCGAGAAGCCACCAAGTCCAACCACGGCGGGCGCGAGCGAGCAATCACTACCAGCAGCGGCGCATTTGCCTCCACCGTAGTCCCCTGCTTCGGCAGGACAGGGGACGCCTCCGCTCGAGTTGATCTCTCCGCCCACCGACATCGATGAGTATGTGGACGCTTTCCACGACGGCGAGGAGGTCTGGTTCCGCCGGGTGGACAACATCGTCGGCGACGAGGGAGCTCCTGGTTTGGCTAGTTGGCTTCTCGACGACTCGGAGCTGCTTCTCGTCAGCGCAGAGGAGCCACCCACGTTTGTGGTGGCTGAGCGCGACGCCAATTGGCGGCGGGCGATGCTGGAGGAGATGAAGGCGATCGAGACAATGGGACATGGGAGCCGGTTGACTGGCGCCGGCGGTTGTCGGCGATTGGGCTCAAATGGGTCTACAAGGTGAAGCGGACGAGCGAGCGCGCCATCGCTCAAGTACAAGGCACGACTTCGTCACCCACGGCTTCGTCCAGCGTGAGGGCATCGACTTCGAGGTCTTTGCTCCGGTGGCGCGCATGGAGTCCGTCACTTTATTCTGGCCATGGCAGCGGCAAAGGATTGGCGCGTCCACCTCGACGTCAAGTCGGCATTCCTCAAATGCAAGCAGCTCGCGGAGATGGTTTTCGTCAAGCAAGGTCCAGGCTTCGCCGTCAAGGGAGTAGAGCACAAGGTGCTCAAGCTGCGTAAGGCGCTCTACGGGCTCCGGCAGGCCCTGCGGGCGTGGAATGCCAGCGAGCTTGGGTTCACTCTTTGCGCCATAGAGCACGCGCTCTACACACGCGGCGATCGAAGGAGCAACTGTCGTCGTGCGGCGTGTCGTGGACGATTTGATCGCCATCGGGCGCGAAAGCAGAGGACATCGATGACTTTAAGCGCGAGATGGTGGCTCGTTTCAAGATGAGCGATCTCGCACGCTTCCCTACTACCTCGGCATCGAGGTGAGGCGAGGGGAAGCAGTATATCCTCGGGCCAAATAGCGCCTCGCGGAAACCTTTGGAGCCGTGGCGGCATGGCAGAGTGCAAGCCGTGCGCGACTCCGATGGAAGAGTGGTTGAAGCTGTCCAAGCACAGCACGGCGGCGAAGGTGGATGCGACGTGATACCGGAGCATCGTCGGCGGGCTGCACTACCTCACGCACACTCGGCTGGACATCGTGTTCGCAGTCGGGTACGTTAGCCGATTCATGGAGGACCCGCGTGAGGATCACTGGACGGTGAAGAGGTTGCTGTGCTATATCAAGGGGACGCTCAATCATGCGATCATCTTCCCCAAGCACGGCGACAAGGGTGGGCTGCGCCTCATGGTCTTCGGTGAGGCACCCCCCAAAAACAGAGGAAGGTGAGCCGGAGCTCACAGTCTCCAGCGATGTAGACATGGCGGGCGACATCGACGGGCGACGGAGCACCTCTGGTGTGCTCGTCTTCCTTGGAGCGGCCCCCGTTGCTTGGTAAGTCGGCAAGCGTAAGATCGTTCTTACTGTCGACGTGTGAGGCGGAGTCGTCGCGATGTACAATACCAGCTGCGTTGTTGTTTATTTGTTGCATTTTCTTAGCGAGCCGACCGGGCGAGGAAGCTCACCGCCACTCTGATGGTGGACAATCAGCCCACCTCGCCCTCGCCAAGAACCCCATCCTCCACGCAATCGAGCAAGCACATTGACATCAAGTTCCACTTTCTCCGGGACTGCGTCGATGGAGAGCAGATTGTCATCGAGTTTGTTGAGACCGGCAGACAGCTCGCTGACATCCTCACCAAGTCACTCGGACGCCCGCGGATCATGGAGCTGAGGAAGATGATTGGCATGGATGAGGTCAAGGCTTCGGGTTAGCAACAGGATTAGGGGAAGAATTGTAATACATAATCTGCTGCCCCCAAATTCTCTCTTTGCAGCAGATTAGGATTAGATTTTGGTCAGCATGGCTGTCCCCTCCCTAGTGCTGTAGCTTGTAAGGCAATAGGCCATCTAGTACTTGTAGTTGGTAGAAGTACATCAGCCATGTTTTGGTAGTGGGCTGATATAAGCCAATGTACTAGTAGTACTTAAGAGTAGGTAGTTGGTGTACTCACCATACCTCTCTGTACCCGATAGAGGTACTAGCTCATGTATATATACTAAGCCAATGCAATGAGAAAAAGCAGTTCAGTTTCCCACATTCAGAAGCGTAGCTTGGCCGTGGCTGGGTTTGTGCTGTGTGTGTGTTTTTTGAGCTCAACCCCTTCTTCTACCTCTAGCCATAGTGAGTGAGTGTGCTGGTAAGCTTGTTGCTTACCTGTGCAGGGCAGCAAGGGACCGACAATCTCTAGGTGAGAGATCACATGCAGTTCGAGGTTGTGTACTAAACATTAATCTTCAGACTTTCGGAGTCATATCAAACGACATCAGTAGACTTTAGGACCTGAGATAGTAGCAATAGCTGAATGCCGTTATTGATGCAATGAAATATTAGGAAATTTGTCTTTCATTCAGTACGCACATGTTTACTGGCATCTCCGTACGTACATCCCACTCTGCCTATTCCTATAATCTTGTTCCTATTCTAGGAAATAGAAATTGCATAGGGGCACTGTAGAGGAAAGGAATCAGAGTGCAAGCCTGAGGTGGTCACTGTAGGCGTTCAGCTGGCGTTATGGCTCCGGGCCACGGAGACGCAGTGCCACCGATCGCATATGTTCCTGCACCTTGCGCTGCTGCTGCGGCTGTGAGGTGAAGCAGGACCGTCGCCTTGTCCGCCGGGACGTCGTCTAGCAGCAGCACATGCCCTCCCCGCCGGCGCCGCTTGCACGACCCGCTAAAGTCGTCCTGCACAGAACCACATCGCCCGCGGCCTCCAGGGCGACGAAGTACCCGCCTCGGGTCGGGATCCCGGCCCTGAACTGTCTGCCCGCGCCGAGAGAGGAGTCCGGTTGGCGCAAGCATGCAAGGGAACAAAGAAGAGGGTCGGCCTAACGTGGCATCAACGGTTATTGGGCTGGGCCGTATCGAGCAGACTGGCCAGAACGTTGTTGGTTGACGCACGGGATTACTGGGTGACGGGGCGGGGGCGGGCGGGGCGATTAACCGCGCTGACGATAACACTGGAGATTTTTTAGGTGTAGAGATTTAGTCTACAAAACCTTCATGCTTCCCAGAATGGAATAATTTTCTTCTATACCAAGGCTGTTGTGTCTTAGGTGCCAGACTTGAATTTGGCATATGCTAATAAGTGGAATAACATTAATCATAGTACATTATCTAACAAGTGGAATGTGATTCTGTCTAATTGTTCACAGTAGTTTTCACTTTTCAACACTCGGCATGAATCATTTATTGTTCAAAGCTGTTTTTTGTTTTCATTTTCATATCTCCATTTTACATCAGTGGTGTGTCAAGGCGCCAAGCATATGGATTTTTATTATCTATTTTTTAACATATACTGTTCTTTCTACTGATTTTTTTATGTATTCTTTTTGCTGAACATGTGCAGAAATTCAGAGAATTTTTGTTGTCAAAGGACTTTGTTGGGATCCACACCCCAAAATTGATTTCTGGATCTAGTGAAGGAGGTGCAGCTGTATTCAAGCTTTTGTACAATGGTCAACCTGCTTGTTTAGCACAGTCTCCTCAGTTGTACAAGCAAATGGCTATCTGTGGTGGTTTTGAACGAGTATTTGAGGTTGGCCCTGTGTTTAGAGCAGAAAATTCAAACACACACAGGCATCTCTGTGAGTTTGTTGGTCTTGATGCTGAAATGGAGATTAAGGAGCATTATTTTGAGGTAAGATTGTAAGAAGAATGCATTATTTAATTGTCTGAAGCAGTCATTGTTGACTATTTTTTTTACACAGGTCTGTGACATTATAGATGGCTTATTCAGATCAATATTTAAACACTTGACTGAAAACTGCAAGAAAGAACTCAAACAATAAACAGGCAGTATCCGTTTGAACCTCTGAAGGTAAAGATTCTTGCTTGTTTTGTAATTTGACTATGCAGTTCTCTGGGTTCTGTAGCTCAAGAGATTGACAGATCACTGATAATGTTATGCAGTATCTTGACAAAACCTTGAAGCTCCCTTATGAGGAAGGGGTTCAAATGTTGAAGGTACATACTTGCAGCTGTCTCTTGCATAGTCTAGGCTTGCTCTGTGTAGCATATATAAATATATGATCATGAATTAATTCTAGTTGCTATTTCCTCTGATCCCTAATATGAGTCCATCCATAGCCATCTCAGACTCAAACCAAATACAGGTCCATCAGCAAATCCAATGCAACTTTTTTTTATCTCCACTTCCCTGTGTTGCGCCTATAAATACACCTAATAATAAATGAAGTAAACAGGCTAACTACTTTTTCTATAGCAATTATAGCAGCAATTGGGTCTTTTGGGTCTTTTCTCCACGCACCCTAATTTGTGTATGCAAGTCCAAATGGACTTATATAAGTCAGTGGAAGTAGTTGCTACTGCCAATTTTGTTATAGGCAAAATCAGACTATACACTGTTGATTTATCTAATCAACAGGAAGCCGGAACAGAAATTGAGCCTATGGGTGACCTCAATACTGAAGCTGAGAAAAAACTTGGTCGGCTTGTCAGGGAAAAGTATGTAAACTCTACAGCCCTATTATGTTTCACTAATTTATATTTTGATAACAACTTTCTTTGTTATTTGTAGGTATAACACAGATTTTTTCATCTTGTATCGATATCCTTTGGCTGTACGTCCGTTCTACACCATGCCTTGCTATGACAACCCAGCTTACACCAATTCTTTTGATGTCTTCATTCGAGGTAAGACTACAATTGTAAATGTTGTTTCTGATGCCATGTAGTAATTTGGCATGCCTCTTGATCATGTAAATAAGTGTATTTGGGCAAGCCTTTTTTTTGGTAAGTATATATGATGCCTCTTTAATGCGCCGTGTCACGCCGTGTCACGATCTGGGCACGGTGTCAAGTGAGCAAGGATCGGGTCGTTGCATCCTTAGTTGCTTGGGACTGAAAGGCTATGTTGTTGTTGTATATATGATGCCTCTTTAATGCTGTAGTGTTTTATATGCAATTATGCATAAAGAAATCATTTGATTTCTGATTCCTATTTGTAACAGTAAAAGTAAACTATATGTTTTCTTGTTCTATTAATGTATCTCTTTTGCTTTTTATTTATAATAAAATGTGCATGGGCAGGATTTGTTCTTTCTAAACTGTTAAGAGTTAGGTTGTCTCCTTTGGGTTTGAGCTGTATAAATAGCTTGTTTTATTGTTCAGCGTTACACCCTTACTGCTAGGGTTGTACTTCCAGTTATACTTAGCTGTTATGTTTACTTCAGTGAACTTAAAACATGTTGCTGGACTCCTCTATTCCTGCTTGTCTCCTGGGAATGCAATTTGACCTTGATGAAATCATTTCCTACTGGATGATCCGTTCACTTTCAGCTATTTCCTAACAAATCCATTAGTGTTAGCATTGTCAAATAATTGAAAATTTGTTTTGACATGCTGCAATTTAAGCTTCCTCCTCTAGAATTTTCTTTCACTTAAGCAACTGTATTTGTTTCATTAAAGCAAATGCGCTTGTTCCTTTTGAACTTCAAACATAACTCGTGGACATCCAAATACTGAGCTGAACTAATTTCGCTGATGTTACAGGTGAGGAGATAATATCTGGAGCACAAAGGATACACACTCCTGAGCTGTTGGCCAAGCGTGCAACAGAATGTGGAATTGATGTGAGCACTATTTCGGCCTACATTGAATCCTTCAGGTATGTTGGTGCCTATACCATGCCCATAATCTCGAATCTTGATCAGTTGGGGTACACTTTCTCGCCTAGCCTTCTTTGTTTGGTACTCATGTTGAGATATATGTTTCCCTGCCCATTGTAGCTATGGTGCACCTCCACACGGTGGTTTCGGGGTGGGCTTGGAGAGGGTGGTGATGCTGTTCTGCGCCCTAAACAACATCAGGAAGACCTCGATGTTCCCGCGCGACCCGCAGAGGCTTGTGCCGTAATTTCCTGATTCCATGCCTGAGGCTGCAAGTGGTGCCACTACGAAGCAGACTTATGGGTTGTTTCGACGTTCTTAGCATCATCATTAACTTGCAATCTCAGCTACTGAACCCGGATACCGTGGCTCAGTTTCTGTTAAATTCACAAAGCTACTTGTATCTATTAGATTGCTGAAACCAACAACAATACGATCCTTTTGGGCTTTTCTTCCCGCCTCACGTGTTGCTCTGGTCTGATTGTTGTTAAGTGCAAGTATTGCCCAGTTCTTTGTGCTCAGGTCTGATCCTGTTTGTTGGTAGGGCTGGGCCTCTCAAGTTCCTAAGTTTAGACGAGTGAGTTCCTTTTTTTTCTTTATAGCAGGCAGGAGTTCTGCCCGGCATCCATTGATAGATAGTAAAGAAGAATTGTGCTATGAGTGAATTCGTCGTCGGTCAAGTGGCTTGATTCCAGGTTCAACCCTTTTTCCTTTTTTTTTTTGTTTGCCGGGAAGTGTAATAAAGTGTAATGATAAAATCCATCATGTTGTCCTCTTTGTGGGTATTTTCCTTTTTTTTTGTTTGCCGGAAAGTGTAATAAAATGTAATAGTAAAATCGATCATGTTGTCCTCTTTGTGAGTAGCGCGACATGCCTTCTGTCCTGAGATGATACGTATTTTGAACAATGAGAAGTAAAAAAAAAAACCTTTAATTTCTCTTAACATATTACCATTTGATAAAAATAAATATCTCATTAGCCACTTAAAATGATGTGAATTTTATGCCTTGTCAAAGTTTATAAAACTTGATTTTTCCTTGTCAAAGTTTATAAAACTTGATTTTTCCTAGTACAAAATACGCCTATGTTCTAGTAGGATGGAAAACGAAAACCTGATTTGGCCTCGCTGGCAAGGGACAGTAGGACTTCCTGTGTTGTTTCGCGTTCGTACCACTCCCTCTGTCTCAAATTATAAGTTATTCTAATTTTATTAGAGAGTCGAGGTATCTCAAATTTAACTAAAATTATAGAAAAAATTATAAATATTTATAAATAAATATAATATAAAAATATAATTTAATTAATGAAGAATCTAATGATACATATAGGGGAAGAAAATTGCATGGAGCCTAGGTCCAAAGCCATCCCATGCGCCACCAACGCCTATGTGCGAGTGCGACACGTAGAACCTCAGAGGGGCTCCGGCGCTTGGACGGCTCGGCTCATTAGCAGCCCCTCGGCTCCAGGCTGATGAACATCATCTCAGCTTAGCTCTGCACGTATGCCGTATGCATAGTGTTCGTCTCATCAGCTAGCGAACCCTAGGTATGTTCCAAATTTACCTATGTTGAAGACTGCAGTTGAATCATATACAAGGAGAATGTATTCAGAGTTTGAGAAAGAATTTTAAAAACAATTAACAATGTCTGTTAAATGTTTGCAACATGAGGGGACAAACTTGACATTCTTTGTTACTTATATGCAATCTGATCATGGAGCAACAATATTATTCAATACTGAAGATTCCATCATTACATGTTGCAGAACGTTCGAATCCATAGGTATGTAATTGCTAGATTTTAATTTGAAATATATATTTTTAATACAATTTATTGAACCTAGACGCTCTATATTGTATAGGTATATTGTGCAAGAATGCTCTTAGAGTCTTGAATATGAATGGAGTTTATAGTTAGCCACCACAATATATGGACGAAATATGCAAAAGAGGACTTTATATTGTGAAGCAAGGAAGTGAGAACGAAGATTTGAAAACATATGCTGCACTTATATCTGGAGACTCGAGAGGCCACATCTCTTGCATTGAAGTGTTCACCATCAAAAGAGCTTTTTGATGAGTTGGAGAATGCCATACATAAGTTGGACTTGGAAGCAGATACTCATTTAAGTAAGATGCAAGAAAAATCCAATGAGGTTTCTCAAATTCCAAATGAGTCTGACCGGAACACAGTAAATTGTGTAATATCGTTTAAAGTTCCTCATGTGATAAAGGACAAAGAATACACGGTTCAAAAATGGGGTTGGAAAGAAATCAGGGAAGAAGAAAAAGAAAAGTGCTAAGAAGAAAGGTAGCCGATCCTCCCCATTGTAGCTTATGCTTGTTACAATAACTTATTTTTAATCTTCTAGTGGTGGCTCCGCCTCTGTATAAACAACTTTCCAAATTATGGTCCCGTTCGCGTGCTTTTAAACCCGGCTTGATCCACTTCTTTTTTCATCCGGAATAGTGTTTTTCTCTCACAAATTCCTACAGCATTCCTCCAAACCATCCAAATTCCTCCATAATTCCTCCAAGCGAAGAGGCCCTATGTGACACAGGATCATAATGCTACGCCATCTTCGACCATGGCTGCTCCGTTCATGGAACGCGGATATGCTAATGCCATCGTGCCATACTTTAATAGAAATACTATACAATACACGTGTGTTTTAGGGGAAAAAAACATATGGATTTTTTTTCTCTTTGCTTTGGTTGTATGTCTGTTGTTTTGGCTGGCTGCGCGTGCGTGGAAACCGTCCCTGTGGGCTGACGCCTGACAGAGAAAAAAATAAGACCTTGTGACGGAGCCACAGGAGCTTTGACATGACAGCATGAGCGGGGGTTCCTCTTCCTCTACTATTTGTGTTTTGTCCTTCTATAGAAAAAAAATTGTTTCTTGTGATCTGTGGATCTGTGATCTTGTGATTTGTGATTGTGGAGGTAGAAGAAGGCTGGACGTAGAAGGAGGATGGAGGCTGTTGGATCTTAATTCTATGGTGCAAAACAATTCATGTGTTGAAACTGTATAAAACACATGGTTGTTTGGTAGACAGACTCTACTTTAATTATATTCCAAATCCTTGTACGGCGGAGGCTGCTCCATATATATCACGAGGATATACAAATCTCTTAATTGGAGTTGATCAAGATGCCGCAGTGCAATCTACTGTCAGGCAGTTACATTTCAATGGAGTGCCAAATCATGAAAATATGTAACTGAGAAAGATTTGCATATAGTTTTGTAAGTTTTTTTTTTTGAAGGAAATATAGTTTTGTAAGTTATCCATACGATTTGGAGAAGAACCAAATTTATTTCGGAACAATCTCATTTTTACAACTTGCATTGATCTAATGAAAGCACTTTTGTCTTGCTACTCCTACATCGTCCTTTACAAAGGCCTTAAAAATGAGTTGTGCACTTGGACCATCAGAAACTCGTACTAGTTCTGCAATTGTTCAGTCCATGTTCACCATTTATATCTAAAGCTGAAAGCGAAAGGAGAGAGGATTCCTGTGTCGATGAAGGAAGCTCCCTGCTGTGACCGCAATACGGAGAGCTGAACGTTGTGGAGGACCAGATGCTCCTTGCTAGGCATTTCGTCGAGCACCACGCGTGCCTCTGCTCGCTCAAACTCTGTCCCTCCTTGTTGGAGGAAATGCACACAGACGACGATGTCTACTTACCCTACCGAGATGCTCGTCGCTGACAGAGTCACAGAGATCAAGGCAGGCTGCAGCAGCAAGGATACAAGCAGGAGCGAATGCACGCAGCGTCCACCGCATGACGATTTTGTCAGAGGAGCCAGTGCCCACCAAATTGTCTTCCATCTGCAGCACACGTCCAGAGACATGAATCGCAGATCAGCTCGTGGCGGAGGATGAACTCTAGGCCGAGGCGTGGCTTCTCTCGGTCCACTGCCGCTCTCCCGCCACGGTGCCCATCCGCGCCATGGCCGGGCACTCGGCGTGCGTCATCGACTCATCGTGGCGCTGCGCTTTGAGCCGAGCCGCCGACCGAGCTTGCGCGAGGAGCCGAGGTGCGTGCGGAGGAGCCACTCGTCCTGCCAGACGCCCGATAAATTCAAGTGCCACGCGTCGGCAATCCACAATGGGGTCGCATAGGCGATGGATAGACCACCCAGAGGTCCATGGAATTTTCTTCCCCGTGGGAGGTGCACGGGTTGCTAGGGCCCAGGCAGAAAAGGACCCCAACCCCAAGGCCCTGTAGTCCATTAGCAAATAATTAATGAAGAGCCCAACAAGAATAAAACTGGCCGGCCGACCCGATGAAGTAACGGTGGTGTCGCGGATCCTGATCCGGTTCTCTTTCCTCCCTGTAGCAGATGAGACGTGAGGAATTTGTAGATGATCTTCCGTATTCCTTCTCGACAGTATACCAGATGAACACACAGGAGAGCGAATATTGCAGAACTCGTATCTCTTATTCATTATAGATGGGTACATGTTCCTTTATATAGTCTTAACCCTTCAGGGGTATATTTGGTATGAGCCCATAATTATCTTAGGGTTATGGTTTTCCAACACTCCCTCTTGGGCGAATATCGCGATCAACTCATGCCTCATTAAAACTCCTAAAAACCCAGTGAAAAAAATATGGAGAAAGAGTACATAGTGTCACTAGATGTATTGCACTTGTTGCCTCGTTAAAAACCATTATGAGAAACTTTTGGAAAACTCATTTATGGGAAAAAGAGTACAACGGTTGTCTTCAGAACATTTTATAATCTTCTGGATTATAAATTTCAGGATCTTCTGGACCCAGTAATAAGGACAATTCAGAGGCGATCTCCCCTAAACTCTGTAGGTCTCTCAGTCGTCTTATACCAATATCATGGATACTTTTTCTGAAGGTAGTAGCTAGTAAAGACTTAGTGAACAAATCTGCTACATTGTCACACGACTGGACTTTTAAGATATTCACCTCACCCTGCTTCTGGAGTTCGTGAGTATAGAAAAATTTAGGAGATATATGCTTATTCATATTATTCTTAATATAGCCCGTTTGTATTTGTGCAACACATGCTGCATTATCCTCATAGATAATAGTGGGGGTATCAACGATACTAAGACCACATGACTTCTGGATATGGTTAGTCATCCGTCGTAGCCAAGCACATTCACGTGCTGCTTCATATAGCGTAATAATCTCTGAGTGGTTTGTAGACATTGCTACCAAGGTTTGTTTGCAAGATGTCCAGGATATAGCCGTACCACCACAGATAAAC